AAGGTTTGTGAGACTACAGAAGTGAAGTGAGAACTGAGTGCAATGGGGGTGAGATCAGGCTTGTACAAACGAATACAAACAGCCTCAATTACTACTTTCAACTGACGTCATCACTGCATAGGTGCTTCAATTTTCAAAAGACATCCAATGGACGGTCCCTGGCCCACGGCTGTCCCATGCATGCGAAGCGCGTTCATTTAATATGGCGGCCAAATTTTAATCTTTTTCATTTTTTACGCGATCTGGCCTAGTCGTATGTTTGCAATTTCGCTCGACTTCCATCTCAAACGGGCAAGGTCAACCGAAACCACGGGTGTTTGCCAGGTCATTCGATAGAGTTTAGAGCTTGGACTGGCCTTGCCTTCGACTGTGCCGCCGCTCGAGCGATCTTTTTGGGTTACCCACGCGCTACGCATGGTTTCTTTCTCGACGTGGGTGCAATTATTTTTGGATCGTCGCTCGATTTCAAGGGCTCACCAACCTCGTCAGCGAATTTTCTCCGCCTCGCAGACAATTTTCTAGTATACCTCGATGTCCTAGCCTTTCGATTTTGTGTATTCCTAAGCTTGACGTGCATCACTGTAGCTTTTCATGGCCATGTTAGAGACGTTATTTTGTTCAGAAATGGAGGCTCATGTTAGCTTCCTGTCGTCGTGTTGTCGTATTGGAGGGGAGAAATTCGCGTCAAGGAGTGGACGGACGAAGTATCGTGTGGCAGATCATACTCAATCCATTTTGGCAGTGTTTCATCTCAATGTGGATGAAACCAAATACACCCTGAACTTTTTTGCCACACTTGCAAATTGGCCATGGAATGCACTGCTACTGCCAGGGGCCCAACATTCTCTGGAGCTCCAGAGGTGGATGTACACCGTTCAAAGACTGGGAGCCACACAGTGGGACAAACTGTTTGAAATGCAAGTCTTCCAAGCCTGGCAGGAAGTCCAAATGCAAAACACAAACGCAAGACAAACTTGCGGCATGGGAGAAAACGCGGGCCATCGCCCGCAAGCACGAGCACATGCACGCCGCCACCACTGACAGCAGCATCACCAACAAAACCTCGCCCCACCACACCAGTACCTGATCACTGGATAGTTTAGTCTGTTCAGTTTACGAATTGAAAAAAGGAAGACAAAATAACAAAACTAAAAACACGAGCGTCGCATGGACCGAATCTGATGAGCAGCAGCACGTCACACCCGCATACCAAGTTTAGTAATAGTAGTAGTAGTATAGTATTTATTCATATTTCTCTAGTGCTTAGTGGGTAAATCTCTGCATCCAGAACAGTTCAGATAGGAATGCAATAACACACGCACAATGTCCACTATGTCACAGGTAGGGAGAGAAGTGTTTGCAGCTTGCTGGTAGACGTTCAGCCGTGCATGCATTGGCAAATGGCTAGAGCAGACGGCCCGCTGTCCTTAATGTAAGGCACACACGCAAGCGTCAGAGCTACAGCAGCCAAACAGCATAGTTTATGGATTCATGAAAGACTGCACCATACACTGCGCCAGCTCTGGTAGGGTGCCCTATTTGAGCATCGTCACTGGTCGGTGACGTTTTGCAGGCCTCACCATCAAAGATGCGAGGTGATGCTGCTGATCGACTTGCTGGCATGATAGTCACAAGCATAACTAGCGAAGGATGGCTGGAAGTCGAAACCAGCTGTAGATGTAGATTCCAGGTATACCAGAGAATTACTGACGCCAGCACTTTATCCGATGCCCCATCAGTGTCAACTGTACGCCGATGGTCACAGGACCGTGACAGCCTTTCGATCGGTCTACGGTCGGGAGACGGGGCTGCAAGCCCAAAGCAGCGGGTATATAGTGTTCGTCACCAGCTGAGCAAGAGAGCTTGCTGAGAGATTTAGGTGTGCACTGTTCAGCAACCAGTCCCAATATAGGTTTGTCCATGAAGGCTGGTGATCCTCAGCTATCATACAACAAATTCCTACTCACTGCGCATATGGCTTGTGAAACAGCAGCAGAAACTGCACTGCCTTGACAAGCGCACCAGTTACCATGATGGAGCAGATATGCCAACACCAAATCTCCAATCGCTAGTACAAGTAGCTCTTCACTAAATCATGCCTAGTGCATGCTTGCAGTGATATTTTCAGCAAGAGCGCTGCAGTTACTGCTGAGGAGATATAATATTGCGTCCTTGAAGTCGAAGGCGCTCATCAAAGATTTCTTGCCATCAATTCTTGGCCTTATGCAGGCACGAGGTGGTCTCCCGTGGCATTGGCCATATTACCCCGAGCTGCACTTGCTCGAGGGGCACGTTGTTTCGCTCATGGAAGTCCTTCGTGTTGGACTGAGTAGGCTTGCTGAGAGAACAGAGCGCTGAATCCATCCACGTCCACAACTACGAATAATTTACAGAAACATTCCTACTGCAGATCAGCGCTTGAAAACGGCGATGCAAATCAGCGACGTTGGGCTTCTCCATTCAAAAGGAGAGCCTTCCTAACGAAGCAATTCTCATGTGACACTACATAGTCTCTCAAGCACTCTGGTTCAGGTCTTCTTCTCTCCACTCCATTATCATTTCGATCTTCACTCGGTCGACGTGATGGTAGTAGCTATGTAAAATAATTATGATGGATTCCTCCCGATCCTCGTCGCGGCTAAAATTTGTTCGGTGTTTGTCTAAATTCTCAAACTGACAGGGTTTACAAGAGAAATGTACCTAATTTTGTGCGATTGATGCAAATAAATCGGAATATGTCCGACTTCATAAATCCGTGCGGTAAACCGCATGAAAGGACGCCATGTCGTTAGTTGGTGCACATGAAGTCACCGTGGGCCCCCGTTCAGCTGTTCCACCTTTGTGGAAGTGGCTGTGATCGCTGGCCTGTGCCTGCTATCTTCGTTGCACCCCCCCCCCCCCCCCCCATACAACCATGCTGGGTTTTTGTAAGAAGAATGGATATGCACTTCCAAGGCGTGGATTGTTACATGCAGAGATGTAACTGACCTGTCTGAGACTGTGTGAGATAGCTTGAATGTTCTCTATGTACCTGGGCAGTGAGCATAGCAAACAGTGAGGGCTTCAGTGGGTCACTGACAACAGTAGTACAGTACCTAGAACTGTGAACCAGCACAGGCATAAGCATGGGCAAAGCAACAGTGATGGCGTCATCAGGTCACTGACAACAGTGATGACGCCATCAGGTCACTGACAACAGTGATGGCGTCATCAGGTCACTGACAACAGTGCAAACGTACAGTCAGACCTCGCATAACCGCACACATCCGTTTTCCACTAAAAATTCCGGACAGGCAAGGGAACCGGATAATCCAACACACATACTGTATGTATGCATGGCGTATGCCATAAATTGGTAACCAACGATTTTCTTGCGGATGGCGAGGGATCCGGATGATGGAGGACCGGATAAGCGAGGTCTGACTGTACAGTGGTGCTCAACGAAATCCGGTTGTGTAAGTCAAGTTTGCGCCTTGCACCATTTCGCAGCCCAGCGTTCGCAGGTCTCGTAGGGCTGAGCAACGCCCGGCGCTGTCTTGAGTGACGCGACTGGATGTCATTGAGCAGTGCTGTCATATCCGATACTAGTAACTGAGAGCCAGCATAAGCACGGGCATAAGCACGGACATAAGCACGGGCATAAGCACGGACATAAGCACGGACATAAGCACGGACATAAGCACGGGCATATGTACTGCAGTTACACAACAGCCGCAGGTGCACAAGGCCACACACACACACACACACACACACATGCACCCGCCTGAGCCACTTGCAGGTGTAGTATCCCTGCCCGACCAATACGGAAGCAGTACGGAACTAATACGGAGCTTTGCCTGATGTATTTTAGTGTATCTCCGAATGTAAGCGTACGGCGTCAGCTGCATAAAAGCGGCTGAGCATTTCTGTTTTGATGAAGAGAAGATTAGATTAGATTGGATAGCAATGAAAGCTAATTCGAAGAAGAAGGATTCAACCTCTAGGTGAGCACCGGAGAGAAAGTCATTTATTTTGCCGCTTCTTCATTCACTAACAATTATATCTCAGGTGTGTGCTTGGCATTTCCGGGCGAAGACGATATTTTGCTCTGATTATGCTCGATGACAGCTTCAAAAACGCCAAATTTGGAGAAAATTTCAGAAAAACATCGAAATTTGCTCGGTTTTGCTGGGTTCACATTTTAAAGTGTGAAGATTGACCTCACAATGCTCATTACTGTAATGGGTAGCCGAGTGGTAGGCGCGGTGAAATCAACAGGAATTACTTTTATTCTACTTTCAGGTACACACCTGAGATATAATTGTTAGTGAATGAAGAAGCGGCAAAATAAATGACTTTCTCTCCGGTGCTCACCTAGAGGTTGAATCCTTCTTCTTCGAATTAGCTTTCATTGCTATCCAATCTAATCTAATCTTCTCTTCATCAAAACAGAAATGCTCAGCCGCTTTTATGCAGCTGACGCCGTACGCTTACATACGGAGATACACTAAAATACATCAGGCAAAGCTCCGTATTAGTTCCGTACTGCTTCCGTATTGGTCGGGCAGGGATACTACACAGGCAGCATGTGCGGGCACGCATATCCGAGAGACACAGACTTACACATATGCCCCCCCCCCCCCCCCCGAACACAAACACACATACACACACAAGCAGGCGGCCGCACGCACACACGCGTATCGCTAAAAATGATAGTAGAGATACAACGGTAACTGCGATATCAATCCATTCTGGGACTGCATCAGTCTACAGCTTGGAAGCATGAAGTAACGGCCACACGCATACCGTATATTCTCTATTATAAGCACAGGTCTCCATTACTAGCACAGTCTCTAATCTGTCCCCGGGAAAATTACGATTCCGCGGCCGCGTTTTTTGCGCGTTTTTTGCGGTTTTTTAAAGACCGCGTTTTGCGCGATTTTCCCGCGTTTTTTGAACTTTTTTGTTGCACTACACGTACACACAGTGCACTGTTCGGTCAGCAACGTCTCATCGTGGCGGCTTTGTACTCAAATATGAAGAGTGCTTACATCAGAGACTTGTAACTGATTGATTTCACTACATACTCACTGAAAATTGCCTCACATCAACTGCAAACTTGCCGCCGCGAGATGACATCAATAATATTCACCGCATATTTACCGCAAATTCACCGCAAATTATGCCATATTATGCCGCGTTTTTTTGCGATTTTTTCCGCGATTTTCCCCGGGGACAGTCTAATACTAGCACACCGTGAGCACCTTTCGAAACATTATAAGCACAGTCTCTATTATTAGCACAGTCTCTATTATTAGCACAGTCTCTATTATTAGCACAGTCTCTATTATTAGCACAGTCTCTATTATAAGCACAGTCTCTATTATTAGCACAGTCTCTATTATTAGCACGGTCTCTATTATTAGCACGGTCTTGGTGGAAATCAATACTGCATGCATGATATCTAGCATGTACAGTACTGGCAACTGTATTTCTTCTTGCTCTGTATGGATGTATTGGTTGAACAAATATAAGCGCAGTCTCCAATAATATAAGCGAGGTCTCCAATATAAGCGCGGGGTAGAGAGGTGTTGAAAAATATAAGTACGGCGCTTATAATAGAGAATATACGGTACAATGTCATGTACTAGTGCACACAAGCATGCGCGTGCACACACACACACACACACACACACACACACACACACACACACTCACATCACACACGCACTGCACGAGTTCACAGCATTGCAGCAGCGTACTTAGCTCGCTTGAGGGCGTGATCGATCTCTGCTTCTACAGCCATGTGGCTGAGCGTACGCAAGTCCACAAGGTGCAGGCTGTAGCGAACACAGGAGAAGACAAATGAAGCACAGTGGCTGTGTACGATTACGCACTCGACTTGATTCATGAATGGAATCTCGCCGTTCGATTTCACGTCATGAGCCCTGGAATCGATTCAGACTCCATTCACCCCATCCACACGGGGTAATGTGAATAGCGCAAATCGATTCGCAGGCACAATCAAACACACACACAGAATACTGGTGGCCCCCTTATCCAGGGTCACTTGACTGCAGAACACAACACTCGGTCCTGATTCTCATGGGCTCTGTGGCCACAGGTGGCCGCCTTGTCAGAGTGGACCCGTCAGCAGGTCTACTACGAACCCATTGTGACTGTCAGCCATGAGATGAAGACCTCTACAGACACAAATCATGCATAGTAAAGTCCTGGGGAAAGAGGTCCGACCAGCAAGTCAAAAACAGCACCACGTTTCCATTTCGTCTACATCATACACGGTCCAAAACCAATCCGAGGGCCTCATGAGCCTTGGTACTGCTTTTGGCTCACGGCATGGTTTTTTTGGGCCACAACTAAACTTTGCCTTATATAAATACTATATTAAATAGCAAGGTCCCTGGTTCGAGTCCCGGTGGTGTGACTGATGATTTTTTCTTTCTTTGATATCTGGCTTGTAAGTGTTGAGTTTCGGAGAGAAAAGAGCAGTACGTGGCATGTGGCATCTAATTTCCTAATACTTTGAAATTCTCTGTGAAGTCCAAATTTGAAATCACAACTAAACTTTGCCTTGCCAAATTTTTAAAAACAAAATTAGGACAAGGAAGCCGTAAGCAGAATAGGAGAGTTCATGGTCGCTGAGGACAAGGCGGACAACGCCTTACCGTTCCGTGTTGGACACCGCTGGGTAGTTGTCGTCGAGGGGATGATCGGTGTTGACCTGTTGTAGGTGCAGTCCAATAGATAGACATACCATGACCAGGCTGGACGGGAAGGACGGGAAGGACGCACAAACAACACACGAGAACATAACTGTTACACAGGCCCGCCGGAATCGGTCCGGTTGTTGGTCAGGTTAACACCGGACCAACTTTGCAGCTACCAACGCGTGTTTACAGCTGAGGAGGGCATGCATGTCCCCGCCATATTATTATACACAAACTGTATGAAAGACTATGGTAGAACCGGACTAATTAAAAACTGCTTCCAGCGCTCCCTAACAGTTACTGGAGAATGGATAGCATTAGCAAGTCATCCGCACCTGATGGCTGGTCGCACAGAGAATGGATAGCATTAGCAAGTCATCCGCACCTGATGGCTGGTCGCACAGAGAATGGATAGCATTAGCAAGTCATCCGCACCTGATGGCTGGTCGCACAGAGTCGAAACTCGCGAGAAAGCGTTACGAAAAAAAGGCACGTGACCTGAAACGTCTGTTCGGACGGCTATTCGTTACCTCTCAGACAAAGTTTCTGGGCCCATTGTACTAGCTGTGCACTGTACTGCTGATTGTTTTGAGCAATACGCATGCATAGCATATTTTACCGGTTGTAAGTCGACCTCCAAACTCGGGGCCTAGATTTACCGGTTTATGGGCATTTATACCCCGTTGTAAGTCGACCTCCAAACTCGGGCCCTCGATTTACCGGTTTATGGGCATTTATACCCCTCCGGTTGTAAGTTCACTACCACTTTCTTTAGTCCAGTTTTTAGGTCATCAAAAGGGTCGACTTATAACCGGTAAAATACGGTAGGTACGACCGGTACATTTCTGGCTGTAACGTTGTTGTCCTCTGGGATTCTGATACTGATCACAACACTCCTGACAGGATATACATACCGGCAAGAGTCCAGACTCCCCCAGAGTGTGCAACTGGGATGGGGTTGTGGGACGGGCGTAATCCGTGATGTTCGTCATTTTTTGGGTCGGACTTACGTCATTCCGTCGACGCGGTCCACCACGGAAGCACTTCCCCTACTCATGATGTCACACGTGCAACACGGATTTCGCCATCCTAGATCTGATCAGTGAAGTTGCGCACTCTGGGGGCTTATGAACTCTTGATACTGGTATAAAATTTAAAAAAGGTCTGTTGACCAACACGTACAGTCAACTTCGCTTATAACGACACTCGGCGGGGCATCAAAAAAGTGTCCTTATTCGTGAAGTGTCGTTATACCCGAAGTCTCCATATAATTATGTATTTATTTACAGTTGGATGGGACTTTGCTCTGGGCATGGAAATTCTGTCTGCATTCGCGAATTGTCGTTATATCCGCAATCGTTATTAGCGAAGTTGACTGTACTCATAAAAGACATTGGACCCATTGCACATTGCCAAATATGGATTACACGAGTAATGCTTGTGAGTACGCTCTGAACAGGGATGCACTGTTCAACACCGCGGCGGGACGACCATGCCCAGGTTGCTGTGTGGGGTGTTCACTGTACACTTCACGTCATTGCGCAATGGGGTCCATTGCATGTGAGCGTGCATTCCGTCCGCTACAACCATCAACATATTCGGATTCACAATGGAAGGATAAAACAAAGCAGCCAACATTGACAGAACACCATTCTTACGAGATTGTCAGAGCAAGTAGAGATAGGCCAGAGGTCTGATGACGACGTAGCAGCGAGAGGCCACGGGTGGCGTACGAAAGGAACCCATCACCTCGCGCGCCTGCATGGAAGACACACATCAATTACCGCACAATACAATTTCTGGGCGATGACGAACATAAGAGGAAGATATACCGTATTTCTCCCAATTTAAGTCGCACATTCCACACCAAACTTCAAGCGCAAAGAAGGGTGTTCTGAAGACAGTATGCAGTGGTGTGCGTTCTGTGTGTTTTCTGTGCGTTCTCTGTGCGATCTGTGTGCGCTCTGTTCTCTTGTGTATTCCCTGTGCGATCTGTGTGTTCTTCATGTACTGTGCAGAAGACTCCAGATATTGTAGAATTTACGAGTGTCACTATTATTTATCTACTGTGTTTATTCTATATTTTGTTAATCCTTCGTTCTTCCGAGAGCACAGTCAAAGCGTTTACTAGGAGTTAGTTACTAGTACATCACTGATTGTTACAAGCAGTTTACAGGTTACAAAACAGCTGGTGTTGTTTCTAAGTTGATTATTTCGAATTTGAATTGTTACTTATCTTTGCATTCCTTCAGAAAGTCCGTTCTGCAGCTCTAGCCCGTCCTAGTGTAGGTTCTGCTCTGACAAGGCTTGCCTTCACCCTGTGGGTGCTAACACTCTCTGACAGGACATGGTTGAAATTGCTTTGAGTTCCTATCAGCACAGATCTTCGTTTTCCTTGTTCTTTGAACTTCCTTTGACTTCTACTTTCGAATTTCACTGTTTGTATTATTTTCTGACTTTTCTTGATTTTCCATTATTTTTGTCCACTCCGTGCCAGTACAGCTTGTGTATCGTCATGGCAGCGTGACATCATTGTTTTTCTCATATGCATGCACGTGATCTCTACGCATTTCTTCTTTGGAGCGCTGTGTGCCACGTAGCTTTGCGTGCGCCAGTGTCTTCGTTGTTGAGAGTTCTTGAGAAGACGAGCAAGTTGTCGTTTCGGTTTCTGATGTGCGGTGGAAAGCGTCTCCACGCGTACATTATCTGGTAGCAGAGGATGGTTAGAGGTTCAGTTTAGTTTAGTTGTAGTGTATGTATCAAATTTAGTTGTACCATGGACGAACTACGATCGGCAAAGATTCGAGTGAAGTCCAATTTCACGAATATCAAACGTGGAATACTGACAAAGCTGCACAGTGAGACCACGCCCATAGACGCCAGAGACCTGAACGCTGGGATAGATGCACTGAACAATGCGGCAGAGGAGGCAGTGCGAGTGATGCTTGAGCTGTGCAAGCTGATGAGAGCGGCAGGTCGCCCTACTGAGGCAATATACGATGAGCTGGACGAGCTCCAAAGCAAGTACGATAACGTGTTAGAGCAGGCCAGCGAAGTGCTCGCCGAGATATGCTCTTCGCGGCCCAGTCGTGGAGGGAGATCTCCAGCGGGCAAGGAGCGAGCCCAAAGAATTAGGGAAGTGCGGGATCTGCTGCAAAGATCGGAGATCGTTGCTGAGAGCAAGGCTGACGAGGAGGAAAAAAGTGAACAGGCACCAGAAAAAGAAAAAAAAGAGAAATTTATGCATACTGTGCCGAAGCGAGAACCGCACCAGGGACCTGTCGGTCTGGAGTCAGGACTCTTACCGAGTAGTCTATCTGGGTCGTCGGCACCGAGTTCCTTGAGTGGGACTGCTGCCAGCTCGGGGACTGCTGCCAGCTCGGGGACTGCTGCCAGCTCGGGGACTGCTGCCAGCTCGGGGACTGCCGCTCGCGCTCCGAGTGGCAGTAGTACTAGTAGCAGTGGTACAAGTACGTCGGCTAGTTCTGTGCCTGCTGCGGCTCCCATCAGTACGTCCGCTAGTTCGGTGCCTCCTGCTGCTCCCATCAGTACGTCGGCTAGTTCTGTGCCTGCTGCGGCTCCCACCAGTACGTCGGCTAGTTCTGTGCCTGCTGCCGCCTTTAGTAATAGTATGTCGTTGAGGTCTGTGCCGGCTGTTGTAACAGCTTCAAGGGGCATAACCTCGGTTGTAAACTCGGGTCAGGCTGGACCACTGACAGCCAGTGGCGGAGGCAGAGCCACCAGTCAGCCTGTAAGAGCACCAGTGACCAGTACTAGCCTTCCGCCAGCAGTGTCAGCACCGAGTGTAGCAGCACCAGCACCATTCGCAGCACCAGCAGCGTTCACAGCACCTGCACCGTACGCAAACTTTCCACCAGGTGGAATGGTAGAGCCATGGCGGCAGATGCCACGAGTCGGCATTCCAGTTTTCACCGGAAACCGCAAAGAGTACGAGCAGTGGCGAGCTGCCTTCAACGCATGCGTAGATGTCTCGCCAGCCAACGATGCGTACAAGCTGCTGCAGTTGCGTACTTACCTGAAGGGTGAGCCGCTGGAGACGATCAGTGCCCTCGGGTACTCGCCAGCAGCTTATGCAACGGCAAAGGCGAAGCTTGAGCGCAAGTACGGCGGCAGTCGAAGACAAATTGCTCTGCAGCTGGAGGACATTGAGAGAATGCCAACCGTCCGCAGTGGTCGCCAGCGCGAACTGGTGCGGTATTCTGAGCTGCTGGAGATCGCAATAGTAAACTTGACGGATGCGGGGCGTTCCCATGAGCTGGGTCCGGGAACTCTGTATAACCAGCTGCTGCGAAAGCTGGATGAGAAGCTGATCGCGCAGTATCAGCGTTGGCTATTCGTGCAACAGCAGCCAGAAACAGTCACCATGTTAGCAGTGTGGCTGGAACAAGAGGCAGAGTTCCTGACTGTGGCAGCAGAAACGGCAGACGGGATCAGCATATCCCAGCCAGCAGCGTCAGCACATGCGCCTGCCAACCGGCCAGCTAAGCCAGGATCTCACCCATACAACAGATCTTTTGTGGCTCGTAGCGGAAAGTCGTGTGAAGTGTGCGGCGATGTCCATGGCGTGTGGCAGTGCGACCAGTTCAAAGGAATGACTGTTGTAGAGCGCTGGGTCAAGGCCAAAGCAGCGCGTCTGTGTTATCGGTGTCTGGCGAGTGGTCACCGCGGCAATGACTGTGAACGGACGAGAGTTTGCGGCGTTGATGGTTGCGACTCCACGCACCATAGGCTCCTGCACGGGCAGCAGCAGATCAAGAACAGAGATCCGCCCCAGGACAGACCAAGCACAAAGAAGCAAGGTGTGTACCTCGCCACTGAGGGGGAGGCGCAGGAGTCTCAAGCAGCAGCAACGACCATGAAAGCCAGTGGCGCTGGGAATTTGGCTTTGCGAACCGTACCAGTCATGATCGGCAATGGCAACAGACGTGTGCGTATCAATGCCCTACTGGACGACGGCAGCACGCAGACGTATGTCAGCGCCAGAGTAGCAGCAGAACTTCAGCTAAGTGGACCAAGCTCCAAGATATCAGTCGGAGTACTAAACGGACAGCGCTCAACGTACGACACCCAGGACGTCGACGTGCAGCTCAGCAGCGTAGATGGCAGCTGGGAGCGCAAGATCCAGGCGAACACGCTACAGCAAATCACGGACGACATGCACGCAGTGAATTGGTCAACAGAGCAGCGGCATTGGCCACATCTCAAGGAAGTGACATTTGCCAGCTTGCCGAAGCGTAGAGAGGTAGATATGCTCATCGGCATTGACCAACCAGACATCCATTGTGCGCTGGAGGAGATACGTGGAGCTCCTGGAGAACCTGTGGCGCGTCTGACAGTGTTAGGGTGGACATGTGTCGGGCCCACGACGTCGACAATGGCTAGATCGTCATTGTTCCAGTACAGCTATGCGGCAGGGGTACGAGACCAGTCAGATGTAACCGCAGAGCTCAACCGCACGATGCAGCGTTTCTGGGAGGTGGAAGTGAGTGGTACCCACCAAGATCCAGCAATCGCACTATCTGTCAGTGACGCAGCAGCTCTGCAGACAGCAACATCGTCACTAACGCAATCGGCAGGACGGTACCAGGTAGCTATCCCCTGGACGGAGAAAGTGTCAGAGCTCAGCAACAATTTCGGCATGGCAGCGCAGCGGCTGCGTAACACGGAGAGCCGACTGGCGAAGAATGAGACAGTAGCGGCAGCGTACAACGGCACAATCAAGGCGTACGCTGAGAAAGGCTACATTAAGGAAATACCGTATGATCCAGCCGACACATCCAGCTGGTATTTGCCTCACTTTCCGGTAGTTCGGATGAACAAAGACACCACCAAGGTCCGGATCGTTTTTGACGCCGCAGCAAAGCACCGCGGCATCTCGCTGAATGATGCAATTCATCCTGGGCCAAAGCTGCAGCAAGATTTGTTCTGCATCCTGCTGCGGTTCCGCAGTCGATCGGTGGCACTTGTGTGCGACATTCAGGAAATGTACCTGCAGATTGAAGTGGCTGAGAATGATCGTCAGCGTCTACAGTTTCTTCATCGCGACGAGCAGCAGCGCATCAAGTGCTATCAGTTCCAGAGATTGGTGTTCGGGCTGAATGTGTCACCGTTCTTGGCACAGTTCGTTGTGCGGGAGCACGCCCAGAACAATGCCAACCAGCTTCCACTAGCGGCCGAGTCAGTACTGAAGTCGACGTACATGGACGACACCCTCGACTCTGTGGATGATGAAGTCACCGCCCTGCAGCTATACGAGCAGCTGACTCAGCTGTGGGGCTCAGCGTCAATGAAAGCACGGAAGTGGCTGTCGAATTCCGAGGAGGTATTGAAGAACGTGCCGATCGACGATAGAGCCTCAGTAATCGACCTGAGCAGCAGCGAACTACCGGCAACGAAGACACTCGGAGTGGCATGGTCCGCTCAGGACGATGTGTTCTCCTTCAACTTCAGTCCGGAGCATGAACAGTCCGTCACGAAGAGAGCATTCCTGAAGAAACTGGCGACAGTGTTCGACCCCCTCGGCCTCATCGCACCGTTTGTTGTTCAGGGGAAGATCCTGATGCAGGATATCTGGGCAGCAGGTCTGGACTGGGACGACACGCTGACGCCCACACTACTAGCAGCGGCCACAGAGTGGTTTCAGCAACTGCCTCATCTCACCAAGGTAGCAGTTCCTCGTTGCATTCGATCACGCGGCAGTGACGATGTGGCGCTGCACGTATTCGCTGACGCATCCAGTGTGGCGTATGGCGCGGTTGTCTATGCCAGAAGCAAGAGCAGCGACACTGTCCAAGTACGATTGGTAGCCGCCAAGACGAGAGTGACACCGCTCAAGGCCACCAGCATTCCGCGTCTGGAATTGATGGCAGCAGTGATTGCAGTGGAATTGGCAACCTCAGTGACATCGGCGTTGCAGTTGAGTATGGACAAGGTGGTCTTCTGGTCAGACAGCATGGACGTGATCCACTGGATTCGAAGTGCCAGTCGAAAGTTCAAGCCATTCGTTGCCCATCGTATTGGACTGATTCAGACGGCTACGCTACCTCAACAGTGGCGGCATGTACCGACAGCGAGCAATCCAGCGGATCTCGCGTCACGTGGTGCTACGGTCTCAGCATTAATCAAGAGTTCATTGTGGTGGGAAGGTCCGTCATTTCTCCACAGTGACTCAGCCGACTGGCCGGCATTGCTAGCAGGTCCACCGACAGCCCCGAGCGCTGAAGAGTTTAAGCAGAGCAGCGCAGCGGAAGCAGTGAGCTTCGCAACTGTTGCACAGCCGCCAGGATTTCGCCTGAAGCCCGAGCGATATTCCGATTGGTTGCGTCTCGTGCGAGTGACAGCGTGGGTTATGCGCTTCATCGGCAACTCCGCTGGCCGGACTCGCATCACCAGTGAACTGACAGCAGCAGAGATCAGTGACGCCGAGCAACTGTGGATCGCGCAAGCTCAGAGCGAGGCGTTTAGCGACGAGCTGAAGAGTGTGCGCAACAAGCAAGTAGTGCCAGCCAGATCAGCGCTACTGAAGCTCAACCCCAAGGTCGACGCAGATGGGTTGCTGCGATGCGACGGCAGGACGCAGTACGCCGAGTGGCTGCCACACAACGTGAGATTTCCAGTGATCTTGCCACGCAACCATCACATCACGCAGCTTATTGTGAAGCACCATCACGAGCTGCAGCAGCATGGCGGCACGAACCAGACGCTGTCGTCGCTAAGCTCAACGTTCTGGGTAGTGTCTGCCCGTGAAGCAATTCGAGAGTGGGAGCGTGAGTGTTCGGTGTGTCGAAGAGAGAAAGCCAAAGCAGCGGAGCAGCAGATGGCGCCTCTGCCCAAGGTGCGGCTATCACCACCATTGCGGGCATTCGCTCGTACAGCTGTGGATTTTGCTGGGCCATTCGTGACAGTCCAAGGCAGAGGCAAGCGGCGAGAGAAGCGTTATTTGTGTCTCTTTACATGTCTACTCAGTCGAGCAGTGCACCTTGAGATGGCGTACGGTCTTGACACAGATGCCTTCCTCCGCGCACTGTCTCGATTCGTCGACAGGCGTGGTCTGCCCATGCAGATGTTGTCGGACAACGGCACTAACTTCGTCGGCGCCAACCGAGAGCTCAAGGAACTGGTTGACGCCCTGGACCAGAATGCTGTACAGCGCTCAGCAGCCAACCGCGGTCTCACCTGGTCGTTCAATCCTCCGCTCGCTCCACACTTCGGTGGCGCTCACGAGGCGATGGTGAAATCCGCAAAGCGAGCAACCCAGCACATTCTGGGCAATGCAGATGTCAACGACGAGGAGTTGATGACAGCCTTTTGTGGTGCAGAGAGCCTACTGAATTCTCGTCCGCTGAGTTATCAGTCAGCAGACCCGAAGGATCAGACTGTGCTGACGCCAAATCATTTCCTTACGGGACAAGCGGGAGGTCGGTTTGCTCCAGAGTCGGTAGATGACACGCCGTTTCATCCTCGCAACCGTTGGCGAGTTGTACAAGAGTTAATCCAGCATTTCTGGAAGCGCTGGATGCAAGAGTGGGTGCCCGCCCTGAACCGTCGGACCAAGTGGCCGCATGCACAGAAGAGCCTGCAGCCCGATGACGCCGTTCTCGTACTGCAGTCGGACACTCCGCGCGGACAGTGGCCTCTGGGACGTGTGGTCAAGGTGTTCCCAGGAGCAGACGGCAAGGTGCGTGTCGCCGAAGTATTGGTGGGCGGCAAGCGCTACACTCGTCCAATCACCAAGCTGTGCCCACTGGAGTTCTAAGCAGGGTTGATCCGTGGTCTGATCAAGAGGGGGAGAATGTTCTGAAGACAGTATGCAGTGGTGTGCGTTCTGTGTGTTTTCTGTGCGTTCTCTGTGCGATCTGTGTGCGCTCTGTTCTCTTGTGTATTCCCTGTGCGATCTGTGTGTTCTTCATGTACTGTGCAGAAGACTCCAGATATTGTAGAATTTACGAGTGTCACTATTATTTATCTACTGTGTTTATTCTATATTTTGTTAATCCTTCGTTCTTCCGAGAGCACAGTCAAAGCGTTTACTAGGAGTTAGTTACTAGTACATCACTGATTGTTACAAGCAGTTTACAGGTTACAAAACAGCTGGTGTTGTTTCTAAGTTGATTATTTCGAATTTGAATTGTTACTTATCTTTGCATTCCTTCAGAAAGTCCGTTCTGCAGCTCTAGCCCGTCCTAGTGTAGGTTCTGCTCTGACAAGGCTTGCCTTCACCCTGTGGGTGCTAACACTCTCTGACAGGACATGGTTGAAATTGCTTTGAGTTCCTATCAGCACAGATCTTCGTTTTCCTTGTTCTTTGAACTTCCTTTGACTTCTACTTTCGAATTTCACTGTTTGTATTATTTTCTGACTTTTCTTGATTTTCCATTATTTTTGTCCACTCCGTGCCAGTACAGCTTGTGTATCGTCATGGCAGCGTGACATCATTGTTTTTCTCATATGCATGCACGTGATCTCTACGCATTTCTTCTTTGGAGCGCTGTGTGCCACGTAGCTTTGCGTGCGCCAGTGTCTTCGTTGTTGAGAGTTCTTGAGAAGACGAGCAAGTTGTCGTTTCGGTTTCCGATGTGCGGTGGAAAGCGTCTCCACGCGTACAAAGGGGATGCGGGCCTTGCAATTGAGTGGGACATCCTACTTACGTGAATAGATTGAAATAATATGGCTCAAACCTACTTGAAGTAAATGTGGAGATCCGACCTACCGGTATAATCGAGTACGACTTACAATCGGGGAAATACGATAAGATCCAAGTTTGTACTTAAATAGTTCAGAATTAGAGTCCAGATTCAGCCCCACTTTCCTTGCTTCTGTGCTGCAGCCAGGTGTATCTTGCTTCGATTGTTTTCGTGCTTGACCCCCCAATACAGACATTTTCCATACAATCATGGATTTGCACGTTGTCATGTCACAATTGGTCGACTCCCTGCCACTGTAGCCGCTCTGAATTATCCTGCAGAATCTCTCCAGTGTCATCGGAAGCATAACGTGGAACATATAAACAGTGATTCTTTGTTGCCATCTCTATAAAATAGCATTATTCAGCTAAACCCCTTCATTTAACAACTGCTTCTCCTCTGACGAGTTCCCCGTTATATCTCTATGGAACGAAACAAGACTTGTCAGGAGTGCTACTACTACTTGCTTTCGTGGAGTGTGGCTGGTGAACTGTTCGTGCTGTGATCTGCAAGCGTCGTGTGGTCTCGTCGGGTCAAATGAAAAAACCTATTGCACATAAACAGTGTAAAGGAGGTTACCCACCTAAAGGTGTAAAAAGGTGTCCATGAACCATGATACATGATTTTTATGTATAAACACGGCGGAGTGATGTCTCCTGTTCATTTTGGTATAGTTTTTAGGTAGCATGCTTACAGTTGCTTTCAGGTGATAGTGCGTCGTCAGCGCGAACCAAGCTGGAACTTAGCTGCCCGGCCGAAGCATCGTCAGTGTCCTGGGCCGGCAGTGGATGTAAGTCGGAGATCTCTTCGGTCGCTTGCGGTGGACACGGGCTCTCATTACGCGGTTGTTCACTGTCTGCGCGCGTGTCAACTATGGGAGTCATGTCGGTCGACTCAGAGGTCGAGTCTCCTCTGCCTAGCCGAAGAGCACCCGGACAGCCCACTTCCTCCTCTTCGTTTTCATCGTCCTTGTCTCCAGCATCTGAGGCATCAACACAAGCATGCACAGACAGACAGACAGACACACACACACGCACACGTACACACACACACACACACACACACACACACACACACACACACGAGCATGCATAGACACACATGTATCGGAGTTTTGCCATGGTCGCATAGCGGATGCTTGAAAGAATAGTTTCGTAACACACGAACGTACCTCTCCCCTCCTTCTTGTAACCAGACTTATCTCGTAACAGGACTTGCAACTAACATGCAAGAAGCACTGATTCGTACATATATGGGGTACCCTCAAATCAATACAACATAATTGATTGGCTCCGTATTAGACTTGATTCTTGAAGGATGGCGGCGTTCCTACGGGTGCGGAAAACCCGGCTTCCAGCCGAGTCTCACGCGAACCGTGAATTTTAATTTTTTAATAAAATGGCAATAAATAAGATAAATTGTGCACTCATAACAGCAAAAATGAAGAAAGTCAAGTTCCATAACGTTTTCTTGTGACTGTCATCAGTGGAACGCCGTCACATAAAAATGTAATAACTAAAACACACACTTATATACATGTAGCTAATATGGTTTCAGGTAGAAATACAGCAGCTAACAAGTACAAAAAGCGAAGTTTGCACCTTTGCAATGGGTGAATATAGTGTATGTGAAAAAGGTAGTGGCAGATGAATGTGATACTGTGTGAATGAATGTAATGGTGCGTGTGTATTACTTGAAGAGTGTGAGTGATACGGTTTTTTTTTGTACTTGTTAGCTGCTGTATTTCTACCTGAAACCATATTAGCTACATGTATATAAGTGTGTGTTTTAGTTATTACATTTTTATGTGACGGCGTTCCACTGATGACAGTCACAAGAAAACGTTATGGAACTTGACTTTCTTCATTTTTGCTGTTATGAGTGCACAATTTATCTTATTTATTGCCATTTTACGACTATTGTCTCCTCGTCGATTGTTTAAATTTTTTAATAGTTATTTTTTTATTAGATAATTGAAAATCTCCAAACCGGCAGTTCCTTAGATGCAAAAGATCGTATATACATGTGTCTACAAATGCACAGATAGAAGACGAATCTTTCGGTACTTTCGCTGCACCTCTTTCATACCTAAAACTTCAATCGCCGCACATACACTACTAAACATCATCCAATAAGAGACTGCTTCTCCGTACCTAGAATTCTCTTCGCCTAACCTGCTGTTTTGGCCTCACACGTTCAAATTTTTGTGCACCTAATATTTCTGAAATTGGAGTAGTGAAATGGTTCCGCATCCATCAAAAAGGCACTGCGGCAGGTGCATCACTGGACTGTATGTCGTGGAGAAGCCAGAATAACCAGCGTGCATAAATGAAGGCAACGATGCAAAAAATCCCTCTATATAATCTCTCTCTCTCTCTCTCTCTCCCTCCTCTCTCTCCCCCTCCTTCTCCCTCACTCCCCCCCCCCCCCCCCTCTCTCTCAAGACGTGCAATGGAACTCACCAAGCGCTACGTAGGAGAGCTTCTTGTCCATGGACAGGTGTCCAATACGCCGATAGCTGCTGAGCAGGGAGAGCTTAACACCGGATGCAACGCTGGCGGATATCGAGCTGTGCACGCCGCGTCCCTTCGTGCCACCACTGCTGCCTTGCTGCTGCGGCGGTGGTGAGAATGCGAACAGCGAGTCCAACGACGGCTGCTGGCTTAGCGGCGTAGAGGGCATAGTGTGTGTGTTGCTGCTACAATCCATGTCGGACAGGCTGGGCAGGCGGGAAAGATTGCCATGGTCGGACTTAGACTTGGGTACGTTGGCGTCATGCCGCTCCAGCGCCTCCGAACACTGACTCGGCAGCGACGTTACACTTTTCCGGCTGCTCATTGCACCAGCGGCGCTGTGCACGGGCGGACTTCTCGCTGCGGCCTTCTGCCCTCCGTCCCCGCCACTCTTGCCCGAGATTACGGACGACCTGATTTCTAAGGAGCCGAGCGACGGCTTCGAAGGCTTGCTGTCTTTCTCATCGTGCGCGGTCAGAGGCAGTGGCAGCTTGATAAGCAGGGCTGGTCTATCACCGTGCACAAGGCTGCCGGGTGCAGACTGGGGCACGCGCGGCTTTGTCGGTACATCTGCTGCATTGCCAGTTGGACTGGCGGAGGATGTGGGTGAATCCCAAATCACTGAGAACGGTTCAGCGGTGAAACTATCCCGCTCCCAAGTACTTTGTTTGTTACCACCACTGCCGCCAGAAGCCATCAGTCCTGGAGAGGCCACGTCGTCCGCGGTGCCCCCGACGGTACCGCACGTCCATTCCGAGCTGTCGTCTTTCCAGTGCTCGGACAGCCACGCCAAGTCTGTGCTGACGGGTCGCAATGGCGTCGGCGGTGTTGCGGCGGGTGTTGTTGGCGTTGTCAGTGCCGCCGCTGCTGCTGCTGCTGCCGTCTCACCTGTAATATTGCCACCTCGGCCGGTGGTTAAGTGCGTACCGGTCAGACTGCCATCGAGGTCAAACACGCGCTCCGCTGCCGAAGGGTTGATCGCCGAAACGGAACGCCGCGGAAGAACGTGTGCGCGATCGGTAACCGGTGACAATGTGGACGCTCTTGAGCGCATTGTGTGGCGGTAATCTTGAATATCGTAACCCTGCTGCTGCTGCTGCTGCTGCTGCTGCTGCTGCTGCTGGTACAGCATTGGCAGAGAAGCTCGGCCAGATTTCAAATTTCCCAGGCGATTGGTTGAAATGCTGGCATAGTCGCCGTCGCCGTCACTGTCGTCGTTGTTCCGTGGACAGAACTCGTCCGCATTGCTCCAGCACAGGGACAGGGAGGACGGTTGCTGCACAGCACCGCCGCCACCACCGCTGCCTCTGATCAGCCTGCGCGTGCTGGTGCTGCCAATCGCGTCGGCGTCATCCGTGTCGCTGCCGCTCGCCTGCGCTAGGAGATAGTGCGCGGAGGCGCGAGACACGTCGGACCCCGCCGCCGTCGCCGTTTTCTTGAGCCTGGCGAGCGGGCGGCTCAGCAGCTGCTTAAGGGCCGACGCCGTCCTACTGCTGCCATCGCTGGATCCCGACGCCGATGCCGGCTGCTGCTGCTTCTCTTTCGATGGAGAGCTAGTTGGGGTGGAGTGCGAGAAGACGTTGGCCGTGCCGCTGCCGGCAGAACCGGCGCGTTTTCGATACGTGTTCTGATCCTGTTTGCTTATCGGACTGGTTAGCGGCGAGAAGGCCACCCAGGCTGGGTATGGATCACTGACCGTGCTCGCATGCAAGTTGCCAGCGAGATTCACACCACTGCCACCGTTGACATTCGCTGCCCCCTCGTCCAGGTCCAAGACATCGCTGGCGGACTGCGCCGTTCTGCGTCGAGCCAACACAGATGACACGCCGCCATCCGTTGCGGAGTCGGGTGTCGACACGCCCTGCTTGCGGCCCGACTCGCCGGCTACGCGGTCGGATTGGCCGGATTTGCGACGCCGGCAGAGGAACGACGTGTCACTCCTGCGACAGCCAGGCATTCCTGCAGCGTAGGTATTCGCGCAGGCTACCTCACTGCTGCGCACGGCGCTAGCGGCATTCTTCTGAATGCTCACACGCTTTACCGCATCCGCGTTCGGCTGCGGTGGGCTGAGAGGAGATGCGACGGGCGCTGTGGGTGACGTAGACTCCTCTCCTGTTGACACCAACGCCACCGTTCTCACAGTATCAGTCGCCGGTGATGTCAAGCTGTCAGGGTCAGCTGTGCCTGCCGCGCATATCAACTCAATGTTGCCACCGATCTCCTCCGCACGAGGTGAGCAGGCCACGCTCGAAGCCTTGCACTCCTGTGGAGCGGGGTCATGACCGCCGCTACTCGACATTTAGCTGCTCCGATAGTCGGCCGTGCAGCCGGACTTGTTCTCGCAAAATGTCAACTCGCTCTGGTGTCACTGTGTGGAGGGCAAAGATGCACATACAGACACACGTACACACACACACACATACACGTACACATACACACACACACACACATACACGTACACACATGTACACGCATGTACACACACACACACACACACACACTCACACACACACACACAGATATACACATTCACACACACGCACATACACAACCACAATATTGTTTTATTCGTTGGCCAGAGGAAGTCCCCATTTGACTACATACATTCACCCTCGGGCATGGCGACGATGTGAACAAGGACAACTTGCCAAAAAGCGACACGGTCATTGTGTCCCGAGACCCAGACCGCCTGGCGTATAACAGCATTTTCATCAGGGAGTTGTATAGACCCAGGAGAGGGCACGGCACACAATAGCTTGGGCGATGTGTGCCTCATGTGCGTTTCTTTCGGGGAGGCCCCTGGGTAGAAATCGAGGGAACCTCAGAATGCGAAGAAATATTACGACTTTCAACTTTCAGATGATGTGCTTTCACCAAACATAAACAAGATCATGAAAGATCTAACATTCGACCACCGTCAATGTACGGCGAAGAATACCCAAAAAATCGACAGAGAAGGATAAAGAAAGAAGCCTGCAAAGACAGCGAAAAAACCCCAGAAAGAAACGAAAAGAGCCATCCAGTTGCCTTGTCATCGTAGTTAAGTTCGTGGTCGAAAATGATCCGATTCGAGTTTTAAGTCGAATAACATGTACAGTGGGGATTGGATATAACGACACTCCTTTGGAAGAGAACAAAAATGTCATTATATTCGATCTGTCACTAAACCCGATCTTCGCAAAGGAGTTACTAAACGCCTTGGGCAACAGAATTGTGTCGCAAAACTCAATCTGTCGTTACATGCAAGGTCGTTATATCCGATCTTCACTGTGGTCGGGGAAATAGCGAAATTTTTAATCTCTAGCAAACGTTTCTCACTTAACAGTAGTAGATCTAGCCAGTGTTAGAACATGGTGAGTTGTACGTGGTGGTACAACTCGGTGTACCTGGTACACGGTGAGTTGTACGTGGTGGTACAACTCGGTGTACCTGGTACACGGTGAGTTGTACGTGGTGGTACAACTCGATGTACCTGGTACACGGTGAGTTGTACGTGGTGGTACAACTCGGTGTACCTGGTACACGGTGAGTTGTATGTGGTGGTACAGACGGTGCCACGCAGTCTTGGTTTGCGGATGATTCTGCCGCAGGAGGCAAGTTGCAAGCAGTACGAATCTGGTGGGATCGCCTCAACGAGAGTGGTCCATCATACGGCTATTTCCTCAACCCGACCAAGTCTGTCCTCCTTGTCAAGCCACAGTTTCTGGATGAGGCCACCAGCATATTTGCTGGAACTGGAATTGACATCCGCACAGATGGATGTCAGCATCTGGGAGCCGCGCTTGGCTCAGCAGAATTCTCCCGCTGCTTTATGGAGCGCAAGGTTCAATCCTGGGTAGAGGAGGTGATGTCGCTCAGCACTATTGCTTCGTCACAGCCCCAAGCTGCATATGCAGCGTTTGTTCACGGCCTGCGAAGCAAATGGTCCTTCCTGTCTCGAGTCATGGCCGACCTACATTTGTACATGCAGCCGTTGGAGGACTCCATCAGAAACAAGTTCATCCCCGCTCTTTTAGGTGGCAGAACCGTCAACGATGATGAGCGACAGCTTCTGGCCCTGCCTTGTCGACATGGTGGTCTGGGGCTCATCACACCTGCCTCCCTCGGGGCCCAGGACGCCCACTCCAAGACCATCGTTGGCCCCCTGGTGCGGCGCATTCAGCAGCAGACTGCCACGCTTGGCGATGCCCTGCAGGAAGTGCGGAAGAACAAGCAGCTGTTGAGGGCGAAGGCAAAGACATCACTCCAAGCCGAGGCCGTCGCTCTGCATTCTGCCGCACCTCCAGAGGTTCAACGTACCATCGACCTTGCTTCGGAGCGGGGGGCATCCAGCTGGCTCACCTGCCGGCCCCTAAAGGCCCACGGCTTCACCCTCACGAAGGCTGAGTTCCGCGATGCTGTGCACCTCCGGTATGGCTGGCACCCAGTACGACTGCCAACATCATGTTCCTGTGGACAGCAGTTCACCGTCAGCCATGCCCTCTCCTGCCCGTTAGGCGGTTTCCCAACCCTCCGCCACAACGAGGTACGCGATGTGACAGCTCGCCTTGCGAAGCGTGTTGGCCACCAGGTGGCTATTGAGCCACATTTGCAGCCACTCACTGGAGAGCAGCTCCGGTACCGTACTGCTGTGGGCGACGACCAAGCCCGCCTTGACGTTGTGGCTAGTGGTATTTGGGGAGGGCGGTTCGAGCACACCTACATTGATGTCCGGGTGTTTAACCCTTTTGCGTCCTCGAATCGCCTCAACTCACTTGCTGCTAGCTACACCCGTCACGAAAAAGCCAAGCGCCGTGCCTATGAGCAGAGAATCCGAGAAGTGGAACACTCCAGCTTTGTTCCCGCCGTGTTCTCCACTACGGGAGGCATGGGGAAATCTGCCACCTCTCTGTACAAGAGGATAGCGTCCCTCATCGCCGACAAGACCGGGGAGGCCTACAGTGCCGTGATGGCTTCGATCCGGTGTCAAATCAGCTTTGCCTTGGTCCGATCCAGTGTGATGTGCCTGAGGGGTGCTAGGCGGCTCTATGCACCGGTCTTTGCTGCGGACTCAGCTGCTCTTGTTGTTGCCGAGGCGGCTATCCCCTGTTGAGGTTGATGGCCGTGCTCATTTATACCATGTTCTCTGCTTTTCGTGTCATTCTTGCTTGTTCTAATTTCTGCTTTTCGCGAGTGTCATTCTTGCTTCTTGTGTTTGTTTGTTCTCCTCTAGTTCTCTTATGTTCGCGGAGAAGGCGGAGAGCCGGAACACAGTACCTCTTATTTTTAATTTTTTTTAATTATTGACTGGTTTTGAGGGAAAGAGACAAACGGGAAAAGTCTGAAGAAAAAATTGACTGTCACCACCAGGACTCGAACCAGGGACCCTCGCTTGTAGCCAGCGATGCTCTAACCGCTGAGCTATGGTGTAGTCGTCATCCAAGCAGAGACCGTTCAACGTTTTCTTCAGACTTCGTGGGCCATCCCCTGATCATAGGTGACAAACATTTTTAGTATTAATAAACTCATCCCAAAAAAAAAAAAAAGTGGTGGTACAACTCGAT